TTATACCTTTTCAATTTGAGTAATTTCCAAGGCCGCACAACTATTTCATGAATGCGTTTTTCTAAACTAAAGCATCAAAAGTGTCTAAGAAAAACTATTCACAAATAATAGCTTATTACTTTCTCTTAAGGTAAACTCATCGAGCAAAAATACAAAAGAGGGAATGTAAAGGTAGTGGGGGCAAAAATATTGTTAGACAGGAAGTGTGATTGGGTTATGTTATTGTTTGTCCCAAATGTCACATGAAATCTTATTTATATTGAAGTTTTTTAACAATTGTGTCGTATTTTAGACTATTACCGTTAATAAATAAATAAAACTTTCTCGTCTAAGACATATTCTGAAAAATATTATATAGCTACAGTTAATAAGTGTCGGAAAATTTAAATTTGGAGCATTCGTATTTAGGGATATGTTCGCCATCAGAGGCCACCTTTTTGGTCTCCTTTTCATAAGAATTAGATTCCCTCTTTTGTCTTTTTGCTCGATGGGTAAACTTTATAGCCATTTAAAGATAACAATTACAATTGTCGAATTATTTGAAGATAGTTTAGGGAATGGAACGTCAAAAATTACACATATAAAAACCAACTAATAAAATTAAATAAAATTAAGGAGACGGAACAATTAGAATAGTAAACTTTTAGGCAGCTCGACAAGCAAGGTGAGACCTTTTTTCCTCTAACCCGACTGCAATACCTACTATAGAATAGATAAAAATATAAACCAACCCTCTGAGAAATCATCCAAAACTAAAATTCAATTGAAACATGGACTGGAAGAGTTTGTTGTTTAAAATTAAAAAAAAAAATATTTATTTATAGGACAATATTTTTTGTTACATATTGGTGATTGGTAGATAAATCGACAATTCAGTGTCGACACTAATCAGTGAGTTAGCAAGGTCATATGATGCCTTCATCCGGCCCTGGTTTTTAGTATATTTCCGCAGTTTGACAATAATAATTGCTCATCCTTACAAGTAGGTACAATTCACTATTCACTTGTAGTTTTGATTTAACAAATGAACACGTTTTAAAGTTAGGTTACTTACTTTTATTGGAAGGTGTGCAATACATTTTTAATAGCGGAGCAGCCTTTGCAATTTAAAAACATTTTGACTATTTTCCACTATTTACTTGAACCGGACATATTATAAATATCTTACAAAATTTGAACCTTGAATTAATAGTTGACTGGAGACAAATATTTTGAGAAAAGAGGGAAATTTGTTGCATCTGTAGATCAATTCAGGTGTAGAGTTAAATTTATTCTGAGTTCTGGTTATTGATATATATTTTTTACACTTTTTGATATTTTTATTAACTTCTGCTTCTCTTGTGTCTTTCATTATTTCTTGGTTCCGCTACATTTTCCTTAATATTTCAATTTTAACTTCGTCGATATATCCAAATACAGCGTTGTTTCTGATTTTGATGATACCAATACATTTTCATGATGAATATACCCATCCTTTTATTATATTCCTTGAATCTTGAATCAATAGGTATCTGTCCCTTTATATCCTCTTCTTTTGGCTTCATTATACACATGCGTCTCCAAACAAGTATATAGTGTCATTAAAGAAATTTTTCACGAGAGTGATTTGTCTTACTCTCAGATTGAATACAAGGTATAATATGAAAATAATACAAGGTTATGCACCAACAAATAATCATGATGAAGAAGAGGTGAATCTATTATATGATGACATCGAAGCTGCTCTTAAAGACCATCAAGGAAATTTTACTTTTATATGCGGTGATTTTAACGCCAAAACAGGAATGAAATCCAACCGTACAGAAACACCACTGGGAAACTTTGGCTTAGGTGGTAAAAATGAACGTGGCGAAATACTGTTAAGGTTCATGCTGCAACAGGAACTATTTCAAATAAACAGTTTTTTTTCAAAAAGAAACCACAGAGAAGATGGACATGGCAAAAGTCCTAATGAAAAAACTCAAAACGAAATAGATTTTATTATCACGTACAAAAAACACACAATGTATTTCCAATAAATGCTTTACTGGAAAGTCAAAACAAATTATGTCTTAGAACTCAAAAAGAAGAGAATATTAGCCAAATACAAGACAACTAATGCAGACAAGAAGAGAAATGAGAATCGAGACGGAAACTAAAGCCGACGAACTTCAAAAATTAAATAAATAAATAAATATCCAAAGCTGTTAGACAAGACACTCGAAAATACAACCAAGAATAAATCGAACATACCATTGAGAATAATAGAAGTATGAAAGTATTGAGAAAAAGACTAAGAACGAGGACAAGGCAGATGATAAAGATTAAAGATATAAATGGTCATCTAACAACCAACATAGAGGAAACCCTTAAAATAGTTGAAGACTTCTACAAATTGCTGTACACAAGCCAACACAAAGCAAATAGCAGAGAAGAGCAAGTACCAGATATATTAACAAGGAAAAGGGCATTGCCAACCCAGGATCAGCACTACTACCGGAAATCACAATGGACGAAATAAAACTAGCCCTAAGAAAAGCTAAGAATAACAAATCTCCAGGCGAAGATTGTGTAGTTACTGATGCAATCAAAATAGGAGGCACTTGCCTACTTACGAAAATAAAAAACCCATTTTAACATGTGCCTTTTGGGCAGTAATATATCCGACAAATGGCACAATGCTGAGGTAATTCTATTGTATAAAAAAGGAGATCCCCAACCCTATGAAATAGAAAGCTACAGACCTATAAGTCTTCTTAGTCACATATACAAACTCCTTACAAGAATAGTAGCGAATCGTCTTGAGAAAAAACCTAATTTCTGCCAGCCAATAGGCAAGCGGGATTTCGTACCGGATATGGAACTAATGATCACCTACAGAGCATTAAAATGGTAATAGAAAAGACTATCGAATACAATCGACCACTCGTTCTGGCTTTTGTAGACTTCCATAAAGCCTTTGACACAGTGGAACTTGACAAAATCCTGGAAGCACTACAAGCATGCAGCATTGACTACCGATATACAATGTTAATTTACAATACATACAAGAATGCAACTATGTCGGTGAAACTACATGAAAACACGGATCATACCCCAATCGGCAGAGGAGTCCGACAGGGTGATACCTTATCGCCTAAACTGTTTACCGCTGTACTAGAATATGCTTGTAAAAACTTAACTGGGAAGAGAAAGGCCTGAACATTGACGGTAGAAGATTAACAAATTTGAAATTAGCAGACGACATAGTTTTGTTCTCGGACAACCTCAAGGAGATATGTACAATGCTACATGAACTTCAGTTAGTGTATGCCAGTGTGAGTTTTAAAATAAACATCTCCAAAACAAAATTCATGACAATCCTCGTACCTAGTGGAAATATCAATATTGGAGACAACGAAGTAGAGCTGGTGGAAAAATACATTATATCTTAGACACGAAATAAAGATCACAAGAGACAACCAAAATGCGAACTACGAATAAGAATAAACCTAGGATGGGCAGTCTATGGAAAACTCAAAGACATCTTTAAAAGCGATATACCAATTTCTTTAAAACGTAAAACATTTGACCAATGTGTGTTGCGTGTGATTACCTATAGTGCCGAAACTTTGACATTGACAGCTACAAGTTCTAAAACGCTGCAAATAGCTCAGAGGAAAATGGATAGGTCAATGCTTAGTATATCGCTTCGTGACCGAGTTAGAAATGAAGACTTAAAACGAAAACAGGAGTTGCCACGAAAAATGTCAAGAAATTTGATGAAAAGTGTTCAAGATAGAGCACAATGGACAAAAATGAGGGAGGCCTATGTCCAGCAGTGTTTTTAATTTAGTTTGAATATTTATAATTTAAAATTAGTTTTTTTCTGAATTATTGTATTCCTGATGGTGACTTATTTATTGTCGACACTCTTGTATTACACAGTTTTTTGACATATATTTCCACATTTTATACCCTAACATTATTTGTTTGTAACATAGGAGTTGTGTAAACTTTTCCCGTATAAAACTATTTATTATTTATAATTGTATTTAATTTAAAAATATTTGCTAACATACTTCCTATTATGTTAATTTTTCTGTAGTTTTACTTCCTTTTGGTATTCTTTTCTGCATTCTTTGTCTTTCTACTTTATCATTTTTTGACTGCAAAGCCTCTTTTAGTCTCTAATTATATTTATCCCGCAAAAATGTTCCTTTTGTCGTAAGGCTTCACAACCTGTCGATTAATATTAATAAAATGTCTGTAATTTTATTAATTTGTCATTTCGATATTCTGTATGTATATGATAGTTAAAGACAATCTCCCGTTTCTCGTATTTTTCTCTTCATTATTCATATTTGAAATATTCTGGTTTTGTGCGTTACGCAAAAGTCGCGTCCTTGAATTAAATTTCAATAATATCACAATAAGAGATAAAGAGATGCGTTATAAATAAAATTAATAGGTTCTTTTAGTTTTTAAGAAGATGAATCCAACCAGAATGTTCTAAAAAGTACAACAAATATGCTGCACTATTGGCACAAATTATTGATAATATAAAAAGATAAATGAGATGATAGGATTTTAAAAGAAATTGTCTTGATCTTTTAAAACAGAGACTTTTTTGGTATCTACATAGCGTTTGACTCACAGCTCTAGAATCTGAAATTGTATATCTAGCGTTACTTCTTTATCAACTTACAATTCACAGATTTGCGTGCACAGCTGAGTATACCAAAAAAGTCTTTTTTTTTAAAGACTAGTGCCAGTGGAAACTAGCTATAAAATCATGTTACTTATCTTATATATAGGTAAGAAAAATGGTCTGCCTTAAAAAACTAGTTAAGACTTGGTAAAAAATATGGGGACAGGATGTCATCAAAAGCTTTTTAAATTAAAAGGAATATCGAGACATTGGCTATCAAGTCTATAGATACACACATTTTAATGATAAGTAGCTTTGCTCTCAAGATTTTGTATATTCAAAATGATCAGCACATTTTTGATATAATTAGTGTTAAATACAGGATACTCACCAATAGGAAGATCACAGATCAAACAGCATGCAGCAATTGCTCCCGCTGATGCCCCCGAAATCTTGTCCAATAGTAAATGGGGCGCATATTTTCGAAAACAACAGGCAACTCCGACATGGTAGATACCCAAGAAACCACAACCGGCAAAAGATAAATTCATATTCCTCCGAAATCCGATTCAAGAGTCTTTTCGGTGTCGATATAACCAACAAACGTCACTTCTAAACAACAGATCAAGTCGTAATAAATAAACAATTGGATATATGAGTATACTGCGTATAACCGTTCCACTCGTATCGTATCTCGATTCGATTTGAATTAAGTGGGTAACTGCGAATGTATTTAAAGTTCGCTCAGTAAATAAGCATAGTTGCCATCATCGATAATTATTTCTCTAATTGCCGGAAAATTTTTGGAACAAGTTTGAAATTTATCAGTTTCGGATTTTATCATAATGTGTGAATAGGAATATTTATGTGGTTTTCTGTAAAACTTGGAGTGAACACTGATGGAAGAAAAACTGTTGTGAGAAGAACAATGATGAACATGAGCGTCAATATGTAATAAACAAAACTAAAAAGGTGTGAATATCGTTTATTTCTGCAGTACGATCATTGGTTTCATTGATCAAAGTTTCCAAGTACGATTTTTTCTACTCATTCTATCACGTTACCATTAATTGTCAACATGTAGCGTGTATTTTGTGGTCTTTTGTAATTAGCATATATTTCGTCTTTTTAGCATTTATAATAATTTCCATCTCAGCACTATTCATATTTAAGCATTCGATAAGATGTTGTAGATCTTCTATACTCGTTACAATGATCACAGTGTCATCTGTATATCGATATCGTAAGTTGGTAATTCATTTTTTGTTAGCGGTACCTCCTGCTTTGATACTTTGAGCATGTTTTTGAAAATTTCCTCAGATTATCAGTTAAACCAAAGTGACGATAAAACGCATGTCTAACTCCTGTACAGATCTTCATTTCTTCTGACTGTTTTCCATTAATTTGAACTATGGCACTTTGGTTCCAATATAATGTTTGGATTACCTTTATGATTTTACTGTCAATGTGCTTATTCATAAGTATTGATATTAGTTTTTTCGTCTTACTCTATCGAAAGTTTTTTCCTAGTCAACAAAGCACAAGTGTAGGTCATCGTTTACATTCCATCTCTGAATCAATATGCTGATGGCAAATATTCGTTCTAGAGTACACATTCCATTTCGGAACCCGAACTGCGTCTCACTAATATCCTCCTTTAACTTTTCATAGATTCTATTATGTATTGCTTTAAGCAGTAACTACTTTTAACATAATATAACTCATGATTCTTAGTATCGATACTTTTGCTGCTTGTTTTTTAGGGATGACTATAAACGTTGACTTCAGTCACTTTTGCGGTATTATTTCAATATAGAACATTGTGTTGAACAAATCTGAGAATACTTCCAAGTTATCCTCTTCCACTAGTTTTAACAGTTCTACTGGTATTTTATCTAATCCAGCTGCCTTATTATCTTAAGAGTTTTTGATAGCATATTTGATTTCATCTATCGTGATTTTCTGTCTCTCTCAAAAATTGAATTCTTGTATCTCCTCATTCATATTTTGTTTCTAGTTCCTCTATCTCTGTACAATGTTTCATTTAATAAATTTTCTTAGCTGTTTTGATTTTTTCCTTAATTGTTCGTTGTATTCCGTTTTACTTTTGTAGATCTTTCCGTTTATATTTCCGTCTTTCTTCCATCTGTATTAGTATTTCTTCTGTTATCCATTGTCTTTTAGCCTCTGACATGTGTTGTGTCAAACTTTATTGAGCTGGTTTTAGTAATATATTTTTTTTATATTATTCCACTTTTATTTACATCCATAATTTGTTTGTTTTCAGTTAGTGTTTTTGCATATTAACATTCACATAAATTTTAATTTGTTTTTTATTTCTTCGTTTTTCTTATATTCATTTTTGGTTCTTGTCTTTTAAATTTAATTCCTTTTAATTTTATTTTCACCACAGCCACTAACGGATTGTGGTCTGAGATAACATCTGCTGAAGGATCAGTTTTAATTGAGGTTATAGAATTTTTAATATCTGCTATTTACAAGTATAAAATCTATCTGTTTTAAAATAAATATACGTAGTGCGTTTGAATTTAATTTGAGTCTCTTAACATTCTCTAACACGTATTTCTGGGTCTACCCATTAGAGAGACTTGTAATAAGACTCAAACCAAATCAAAACGCACCGACCAGTATGGCAATAATGGGAATAATAATTACCAGATGGAAGATGAAGTGAAATGTCGATAGCAATTAAAGTAAACTGTATACCCAAGTTTAATCAAGCTATTTAGAGATATGCTCTGAATGGCTCTGTTTTAATAAACTTCATAACAATTAAATAAAATAAGATACTTATTTCCAGTTTTTGCCTAGGGAATTTTTATAATTTTATTCCTGCGAAAATGTTTGATTAATAAAGTTTATTTTAAATTACAAAATAACAACTTGAAAGATATTTAGAACTAGAATATTTGAAACAAAATGTAGAATAGTGAAGATAAGCTCTTAAAACTTAGTACTTAGGACAAAACAGAGTATTTGAAATGTTCATTTGAAAATGGAGTTTCCAAAAATAAAACGATCGCTTTGAATGACGAGATGATTGTGAAAAGTAATAGTTTTATGAAACAATAAAACACTGAAAGCTTTTGTTTTCAAAATCGTCAGAAAATTTATTATTATTTTCATTCTTTATCACTACCGGAAGAGTGCCTTTCTCACTTGATCTAATAACATATAGTCTAGATCTAATAATTTATAGTCTAAAACTGAATAAGTTAAGAAGGGGAGACTGGTTGTCTCAAGTTGGTTATTCAGAATTATGTTTGCAGTTTATAATTTGTTAGTTTTGGATGTGAAGAATTAAAAATTCGTTATTAAAACTATTATTATGGGCTAGAAGGTGAAGTGGTTACGTAGAATCTGTTATTATTTTATTGAAAGCTCTTTTATGTTCTGCTATACGTATGTTAAAGCCATATAAGTTTTTGGGAAGTCGCCACATTCAAGTTTGTATACAACACTGTCTAAGTGATTGAATCACAACTGTGTAAGTGAAGTGGTCGAATCCATCGCTTATGTAATAGTTTTCATTAATTAAGATCGATCTGTATTATAGAATA